AGTTTGTTTTCTAATAGTGTAGCGCATATTCAGGAAGAGTTGATAAAGAAATATCCTAGTTTATTATCCAACTGTGCTTCGTAGAGTACAAATCACGTGCGTTTTGGATAATCTCTTATTAGACATTTTGTTCTGTAGTATCGCTGAGTATTTTTACTCGTTATTTGTATTTTGACTCGCCCTACGGGCTGGTCAAAATACGGCACAACTCGTAAAAATACTCAGCGATGCTACGCAATAAAGCGTCTAATAAGATATGTACTGAATCAATTTAAATGTTTTATGTCTTTCTCGCAGTCCAAGAAACAGTCCTCTCTCAAAAGGAACCAAAGGATCCAAGCCCTCGAACGTCTCTCTTCAAAGACTAGCAGGTCTGATTGAACAAAAATTGCTTTTGCTGCTACAGTAGTTCACAAGATTTAGAAATATCTGTGACTGAAAATTGAATACGCCAACCCGCTCACTCTAACGAGCTATGAGCGGTAGTGCCGGTGCAGGACAGTACGAGTTTACAAAGGGTTTTTTATTTTCAGAGGAAAACGAATACCTTAAAGCTGATAATCGTGCTCTCAAGAAAGATCTGTTGACAGCGATTGCAAATGCGTCGACTTCAGACAAAAAGACTACTCTCAGAGGTACACTTCATTTTGTAATGTTAAGTTGTGATGGCAATTTTCTAACACAGCCCGAAGGAAAGCAAGGAAAGTAATTTGTCACGGTCGAATTGATGATCATCGCGCTACGCGCTAGTCTCATTGCGTTAGGTTTTTTTTTCAGTCCGCGGTGTTAAAGATCTTGCCACCCATAACTGTGGCCTGGATGCGATTTTTAAGACCTGGCGTCGCACTTTATCCCTGAACGGAGTTTGTAGTTAGGCTTCGCCTTCGTCCTTGTCCTGGGGATTTTTCTCTGGTTCTCCGTGTTTCCCTCTTTCCACAAAAACAAATCCATGAAATACCAATTTTGACATGCAATCAGCCCTTAAAAAAACCAATCCAAGTATGCGTCTCTGCCCATTTCTGTATTTATACATTTGAATTTTTGTTCCTTTTTTCAGCTGAATATGCAGACATGAACCGTGGACAACTTCTCGCAAGGATTCATGAATTGGAAGAAGTGAGTGAAAAGTTACCTTAATTTTTTGGGCCCGAAGACAGAATTTTCTTGAAAAAACCGTGCGCCTTCTAACTGAGAAAATATAGTATACGTAAAGAGACGGTCAAACAAGCGGACGAACAGACTGACAGACAGACAGAGCTTTTAGTAAGACAATGAGACGGGTTTCATTACTGTTAAACTAGTTGATAATAGTTTCCCTTTTCAAAGTAGATATAATTTAAAGTCATATTGTTGAATAACATTTGCAGAAAGTACAAGACGCAAACGGAAAGAAAACACAGACTAGGAAAGGTTCCTTACCAGAAGAGAAAGAGAATGGCGAAGAGAGAAGCAAAAGCATCTCTAAGGCTACTGCTGAAGGTAAGCAAAAGAAAAAAAATATATAAGACAAGATAGCTCCAAAGAATAAATTGATAATCTAACAAAGGATATAATACAATGATTAACAACGATTATCGGACGAGGCTGAGCGTGATATTGTGATGTGCCAGTGGCAAGACAGATAATTCACATCATCATTCGATGGATTTTTCCCCCTTTTTCATTGGCTGGGAGCCCACCACGTGACCTGCAAATAACTGCCTACAAATAATGATCTGCTCATGCGTCCTACTGTCTAACTCCGTTTTTGCTTCAAATAATATTCTGCTCATGCGCAGTAGTAACCACGCTCTTGTGGTCGCTCTTGTGTGAAATAGCAGATCAAAAAATTGAAAACAAACTCGGTGATAGAATGATAAAACGATTATTGAACTCGGTTATCGCAAAATATCATGATTTGTCACGATCCGCTCGCCACGGACAAATTACGATATTTTGCTCAACCTCGTCCAATAATTGTTAAATATTTGCGATAAACGAATTTATCACGCTTAATTCAATAATTCAAAAGAACAGCGTTAAGAAGACCCTCAACCTCCTCCAACAATTCCTAAGTAAAAATTGCGCCGAATAAAAGGCTCACCCACGTTCAGAACACCACCGTTGTGTGGATCAAATTCCTAAAACTTAAGCAAGAAAAGCAGGCTCACTGTTAACTGAACTTAGGTTGCAGAATTTGTCTCTTGGGAATTTTTTAAGAATTAAATTCATTTGCTGGCATTATGCTTGATGTTCTGACTATAGCATTCAGGCCAAAATTATGCTGGCGCAATTTACCTGACCGTAATAGCAACACATAGTAAGACGGTATTAGCAGAAGTAGTACGCAGGACGCATGTCATATCTGAACATCGTAATGGGCCTTGCTCGTCATGTAGTCTCTGTGGCCAGCGGTAGAGCATCGGAGCGCGGAATCCGAAGGTCTGAGGCTCAATTACTCATGGGGACTCAAAATATTTTTCTTTGTCCCACGCTCGTGACTGGACGAAAAGATTTTCTCTCTTTAAAGGGTGTTAGTTAGACGTTTAAGATGACCATTGTTTGTTTGCAGTCTTTTGTGGGTTATGTGGTGGCTTTCGGCGAGTGAAAACGACGAAAACAATTCATCCAGGGTAAACTTTTACTAGTAATTGAATGATTTGTACAGGTGACTGCTTTTTTTTTCTAAATTCAGTGCCAGGAAGATTGGAGCTAAAGGGAACCACATCTCAAAAACTAGCTCAACTGCAGGAAAGAGAAGTTGAACTCTTAGAAGAAAAAGAAAAGCAGCGGGAGATCATACAAAGGCTGAAAGAAGATCGCGCTCATTACAGAGAAGTTGCAGATGATCTCAGGTAACTTAGGGTGTTACAAAAGAAGGAACAGCGTAGGGATTTCAGGAATTATTATGTATCTTTTCTGCGTTAGGACAATAATTAATATTGACTGTTCTCTTCAAAATTAACCAGAGTGCAGTTGAAGTCCACCCAAGAAGAGCTTGACAGACTGAGTGAAGAAAATGGTATTGTTGGAGAGAGAAGATCATCCACCAGTTCAGTAAGGTACAAAATTTATTTCCCAGTTCCTGTTGGTTATTTGAAATGTTTGTTTTGTTTTCATTTAGATCTCCCATACGTATCGGTTTCAATACTCTTCGATGTTTTTTTATATACCGCCTTTCATTTACAGAAGGAAAAGGAATTAAGGAACGTGAAAACGTTTCAAGAATTTTGTCTGTTTCCATTCCTAGGAGGAAGTCATCCGTTAAAGAGGTGCCTCCTGAGGATGACAACGATGAAGAGATGGATACAATGTTACAAAATTTCCAACAGCAGCGAGCTGCTAAAGCTCTTCAGAGACAATGGCGAGGATACCAGGGAAAGAAAAAAACGGAAAGAGAAGAACAGGATAGACAAGCAGTAGAAAGACAAAATCAAGCTGCTGCAACACTACAGAAAAACTGGCGGAAACACAGAGACAAGGTACTTGAAGCAGATTAAACGACATCTATCGGGAAGAATACTGCCTATGACGTAGGATGTAACGGCTTGTTTCGCACGGCCAATCAGAGCACAGATGATATCGTAGGAGCCAATCAGCTAGTAAAGTGAAAACGAGCATAGCGCCCGAAGCGCGGGAAATCGTTTGTAAGCAGGTCGTTACCGGTTCTGATTGTGCATTTGAATACTTGAGAAGGCAATGTGAGTTTTTTCGCCCAATTACAAAGCGCAGTAAAGGGACCTTAAGGCAGTTATGATTTACTGTTGACACTTGACTCTTCTGAAATTAAAAATTGCTGTTTCATTCATTGGGTAAAGAAGCTTTTCTCATTCGTTACATGAAGGTTCTCTGGCTCTTCACAGGGTTGGTGACGAGCGTTTTTTCATAGGAGACTAAACCTTATCGAAGCCTTGAAAAATGCATGTGACTGTGATACAAAAGAATTGAAATGAAGACAGTCTATTTACTGAATGTTTCTTTTTTGAAAGGGTAAAAAATATCTCTTGATTGTTATCTTGAGTATGATACCCCAATTCAATGTTTGTTCCCAAAGGAGTTCTTGCGGTAAAAGTAACAGAATGTTGTGGACAAAATTCTGTTTCATATTTTAGTTTCTGTAGTGACGCTTTCATTCCCTTGCAGACCAAACAAATGGACGAAGAAGCAAAACAAGAGGTAAGGGTTTTCCTTCACAAATTCGCCCAATTGCACTTTTATACGTGCAAAAGAAAGCCGCTGAGATGGGAGACAAAAAGGGCCCTCCTTCCACACACATTTCACAAACTTTCCGCGCAACAATCGTCGCTGTTCCTTTACAATTTTACCAGGAAACTTCTTTGATATGCTATAATGTGACTGCGTGATTCTGTTAGTGAGTTTCACAGGCGCTGACCAATACTTGGCTGTGTAGCCGCGCGATGCGGTTCCAGTAGAGACCCACAAATTGACCCTTGCTCACCTTAGAGTCTTCAGTAGCTCAGTGGTTAGAGCATTCGACTAGATCACGGAGGGTCGTGGGTTCAAGTCCCATCTGGGGCTCGGATATTTTCTAATTACATTGAAACTTCTTTGACATTTATTATTCTGCAGGCAATAACACAGATTCAAGCTGCCTTGCGCGGACAAGCGGCACGTAATAAGTATATTGCACAGCTTGATAAAGAACTGGAATTTACAGATCGAGATGACGCTGCCGTGGCCCTCCAATCAGCAATGAGGGCGCACTTAGCAAGAAAAAAGCACCTGGGATATATTGAAGAAGACGAACTTACGTCACGTGATACGAGAACGAGAGGAAGGTAAAGCAGTTGGAGGGTAGTTTTGAGAATTCAATTCTATAATTGATAGCTATTTACCAAAGTTGAGGTGGCTAGTGGTGAATATCTGTGAGGTAATATTGCGCAAAAGGTGATTTAAGCACATTTATTCCTGAAACGATTACAATATTTTCTGGCGCAAATCCTACGCGCGTTGCTCGGAGGTGAATAGCAAAGGATTTTCGGGGTTTGAGTAACCAATCACCTTTAACGCTACCCACCGTTTTAATATATACTTATCATATATAAACTCTAGTTGGTTTAGGTTCATCAAAGAACTTTCCTTATGAAGTTTTTGCACTTATTAAGATACGTCTTACTTATTAAGTAGTGATTAAGGGCTAAAATTGTCCTCGTTCTCAGTTCCAGTCACAACCTCGGCGACTCTGAGCCCGATTCTGATGAAGGTCTAGTAACTAGATCGTCCAGCACTAAACGACACCCAGAACCGGCTACAACAGGTCTGAGGAGATCAAGTTTAACGGGTTAGTATTTGCTCGTCGTGACAATAGCCTCAGTAGTAACTGGTAGTCAGGCGTAAGCGCCAGGTACTTTTTATATTCCAAAGCGTAGTTTCTGCGTTAACTTTTTTCGCTGGTACGAGGCTTTTACTTTTGGTTCAGGCAAACATGGAAAAAAATTATTTTTAGTAATTGATACGTTTATTTTCTATTTATTTTCATATTTTAAGATTTTGACTCTTTTTAGAAATAAGGTGCATCTTATACTTTTTACTCACTTTTTTTTTAAATTACATAACCAATTAATTATTTAATACCAACTGAAAACCGCCTTTGCTAGTCGGGTTCCCTCATAAAATATTATTATTATGAGTAGTAGAGCCAGTAACCAGTTGATTTAGGGGGTTTGGCGCCTTTAACCTTCGATTGATCTTGGAATCAGCTGTATTTTCTGTTGATAAACCAGTAAAACTTGCACCTGTAAAAATATTTTCACTTGCACGTGATAATGCACTTGCACCATCAGGGCTGTCGGGTGATCAAGCACATGTTACATCAACACTTGCACACAATCCGACTGAATCTGATTCTGATGATGATGCTGTTGTGATCGGGCGATCAGCAAAAAATAAAACGGAAACTTAAAACAAGGAAATTACCTCTGATCAACTGAACTCTGAAACTTTTGAAGAAAGAAACGAGAAAGGACTAAAGAAACCACGCGAAATGAAAGGAGCCAAGAAAGAGACCGTGAAGAAGGAAGTCGAAGAGGAAAAAAGTCTTTTAGACGAGGAGGATGGTATGTTTACTTCCGGAGGAAAGATGACTGAACATACTCACTGCTTCTCCTCTTTACTCAGTGCTAATGTTGCTTAATAACCACCCTGATGGCAATCAAGACTGACAGTTATTCTTTCCACTTCGGAAACATCAGCAATGATGCTAACCACAGCGTTTTTGTTAATCTAAAATGCTCCCATCAAACTTCATCCGCATCAAATTCCTCCTTCCTCTCATGTTTAAACACGATTAATATATGATAATAATTAATAATAATGATTAATTGGTATAGTAATAAATAATATTATTGTAAACCAACATAACGACTAGCTTCCAGTTAGCGTGGTTTGCTCAGTTGGTAGAGCACTGCACCTGTATCGCAGAGGTCGTGGGCTCTAATCCCGTACAGGCCTGAATTTTTTTTTTTTACGCCTCATTACTCTTCTAGTCAAGTAGTTTTCATTACTGCAAAGATCATTTCAATGCTCATTTCTCAGTTTACATTTATGATTTTCATATATTCACAGTCATACGAATAATCACTTGGCTCATATCTTAATTTTCCGTCGTCTAATCATTTATGCTAATGAGCTTTCTATGAGCTGCCGTTTAATATACGTTCGTCGTTGCATAATTGAACAGTTTGTGATACTGCGAGAAACATCAGAAAATGTCTTGTCGTGGTATTTTTTTTTTTTTGATGTTTAAATGGTGATGCACTACCCTCAAAGCTATAAGAAAAATATAAAAGATGGAGATTTGAAAAGCCTACACTAGTACACTTGTTGCTCCATAGATGTTATTTGTTTTTGTTATTTTACAGTCTCATTTTATCTATCAAGTATTAGCAGAAAACAAAGTCATGTAGATTTTGGTTTGTACGGGACCAGGGAGGTGAAATGAATAACGAAATATTTATTTCTGCAAAGTTTCAACAACTCATATCTCACCACGGAATTTTACACGTGATACACCTTGTCAACTGGGTATTGTTTGATCATTGCTACCTTTCTGTTTCTCTTAAAGGTTCAAGGCGGAGTTTGATCACAGCTCCACGATTCGCAAACATCTCAGAAAACAGCGAGGAGGATGATGCTGTTGTAACTAGTCCATCGAGATCGAGTTCGATTCAAAAGAGGTCTAGCGAACACCTCAGTGATTCCATACTGGAAGATATCAGACAAAAACCGATTAAAAAAACCTTTGAGATCGTCGACAGCGATGATGAGGACGACGAGGACGAAGTGATTGTCTCCCATCCAACGAGATCGCTAGACACAGGATTTAGTCAACAGCGACCTTCTCTTAGACAGTCAGGCCGGCCGCTAAGCTCTTCCACGTCTAGCCAAAGGGAAGTTCTAGACTCCAGTAGAGACGAAGCCCCTCTGAGATCAGGTTTGTCTATATCTAATAGGCCACTAAGTGGCAGAAGATTAAGCTTAGATCGTAGTGAGGGTGGTGACGGCAGAGAAGCGAAGAATTCCCAAACTTCGAATTCAAGAAATTCTAGTGTGCCCGTGAGATCTGAGGGAGACAGCGATGAGGATGATGGTGACGACGATGCAGTTGTCTCTCGACCAAGTAGATCGCTAGATACAGGATTCAGTCAACAGCGGCCTTCTCTTAGGCAGTCAAGTCGGCCGCTAAGCTCTTCCACGTCTAGCCCGAGGGAGGTTTTAGATTCCAGTAAAGACGAAACCCCTAGAAGACCAGGCCTGTCACTATCTAAGAGGCCACTAAGTGGCAAAAGGCCAATTGCAGATCAAAGTGGGAGTGGAAACAGCAGAGAAGCGAGGAATTTCCAAGCTTCGAGTTCTAGAAGATCCAGTTTGCCCGTGAGCTCTGAGGAAGACAGCGATGACGATGACGCAGTTGTCTCTCGATCAAGTAGACCGCAAAACGCAGGTTTCAATCAACAGCGACCTTCTACTCAGCGGTCAGGCCGAACAATAAGCTCTGCTGCGTCCAGCTCAAGGGAAGTTTTAGACTCTTATAAGGAGGAAGCCCCTCAGAGACCAGGTCTGTCACTATCTAAGGGGCCCCTAAGTGGCAAAAAGCCAAGTCTAGATCGCAGTGGGAGTGGTGACAGCGGAGAAGCGAGGAATTCCCGAGCTTCGAGTGAAAGGAAATCCAGTTTGCTTGTGGGCTCAGAGGAAGAAAGTGATGACGATGACGTAATCGTGACAGGTAGAAAGACCAAGACCCCTGGTAGTGATAAAAAACCAGCTCGTCCCAGTCTTACTCGGAAATCATCTGCAAGCTCGAGTAAGTAAAATTAAGGGAAAGTTCTTTTGTTGGGACAAAGCTTTTGATACTTAACTCATTGTGTGTGTTATCTGTGTTATCTTTTTTTTTTGTCCTAAACCTCACTCGCTTCCTTTCTTAGATTAGTTCACCGCTGGGTGATTTTAAGTTTCCATGTAATTTTAACAGCTTTTATGACGTCCTTAGAAACTCTCATGTAGAACTACGCAGAAATCTTATAACAGCTCTCTATTTTTTTCACCATACAAGATTTTGATGAGCAAAGTTGAAAGTAATGTTTCCTTAAATTTTTTCCACTCACAAATTTAAATACAGATGTCGGTTAATACAAAGATCTCCTCACAGTCAATTCTCCTATATTATTACACGACTCGGGCAGTCAGAGGGCCAATAACTAAAATCAACCAATCAAAATGCTCTATTGCCGGTCAACATTCACTCAGTATTGGACCGGGCACTGTCCCGAATGGTCCCGAATGATACCGCACTTGTGTCCCTTTGAACTTCAATCGTATAATAAATCTCTTATTTATAACCAAGCTTGCTCGGGACCGTACTGGAAGAATATCGG